TTCTGGAACGTTTCCAAGAGATGAGGCATTCAGAAGAGCTCAGAGCATCACCACACATGAGCATTATCAAGAGCAAACAAAACAAAACAAAACAAAAAACTCTATTTACAATTGTAGTTACCTTCGGGGAAGGGCAGCCAACCTTTGCGGTGAGGCTACAGATTGCCCACCCACCAGCTGAGGGGCCGGTAGAACTGGGGAGTGTTAGTTCCTCTGGGTCATAAAGGGGACATGGAGAGCTGGGGCCTGGAGGGACAGGATGAGAAACGGGAGGAATCAGGTGCTGGTATGCAGCCTGGAGAAGCAGCCATCGGAAGGGGTCAGAGACGCAGTGGCAAAGACAGGGCTGCCCTCCCTCAGTCTGTGGTTGCTCACAGATGCTCGGCACCCTGGTGGCCTCCTGCCCAGTCTTGAGAAGGTCTCTGCATCTACCAGCGCTTTCTTGAGCAGGTTCACTTTGGTGGTGTGCGAACCAGGAGAGGGACTGGTTCATGCGTGAGTCAGCGCAGCACAGTCCTACCCATGGAGCTGACAAGGAGGAAAGAGGTCCTCCTGAGTGAGTCCGCACACTTGCTAGAAAGGGCTCTGGAAGCCCTGTGTCAGGGCGTGCGAGGAGGGCTTGAGCTGATCTCAATGGCACCAAAGCCCGTCAGCATGCACAGTTGCTGCCTGAGTTCTCTCTGGGTCCTCTCTGGCAGCCGGTCGGTCACCGAGAAGGTCGGGATGCCCACGCTTCCATCTGACCACCTTGCTGTCATGTGCTGGGAACGGCCATGTAGGTACTCGATGGCCACTTAAATCCGAGTGTGGACGGGGCAGGGCATCCAGAAAGTCCACTGTCTCCTGTGCAAAGGGCCGTTTTGCTGTCCCCTCTTAGCTGTTTGGCTCACTGTGGCTGCCACATGACCCCTCACTGTCTTTCTGTAGTTCCTCCCAGTGAAGCAGAGTGAAATATGGGCCTAAGGTCAGCCCAGCATGGCCAAGATCAACCCCAAATCCTGATGGGTGCCTCCCTTGGCACTCCTCCAAAGACTCCCTGCCCCCTTCCTGGCCTCCTTGGGCTCACTGTCAGCTTGAAGCAGTGATCCTCAAGAGTCCTGAGCTGCCTGGCTGGTGGGCCTCCAGGTGGTGACAGCCCTGGCTCACACACGGCGGCTCCCTGGGGGCTGGCTCCCTGGGGACAGCAGCCCCAGGCTATCTTGAGGGTGCATTTGCATACCATGCATTGTGTTTTTTATTTAGATATTATGCAAAAACCAATAAAAATGGAGGCCCTTCCTGTAGATGCAAGATACACAGTTTAGAGTAAAATTGAAATGAAATGGAGAAAATGCTAATTTTCCACATGCAACACTTTCATGAAGGTTTTTTTAAGGGAAATCCTTTTATTCTGATGGCTTGAAGGAGGGACATGGAGACAGATGCAGACATCTCCTCCTGCCTCAACTCCTTCCCTCCACCCCACGGTCTGGTTCTGAGAGGGCCTCAGGGCCTCCAGATGGGCCCACCACCCTTTTTTGGAGGAAAACTTCAGCTATCCTGTCAGATGGGCTTCAAACCATAATTCCTATATTTGTGTAAAAAGAAGGACCATTGTTTACCAGCAACCTCTTAAATTATTGATAGTTATTAAAATGTGCTGTTCTTAAACTAAAACATCTGGCTTTAGAGTTTGCTGAGGAAGCCCTCAGGCTGGGACTCCCGGAGTGTCACCATCCAGCTCTGGGAAGTGCGGCTCCTTCCGGCAGGAGGGAAGGCTGCTGGTCTTAGCTGTGGCGGTACTTGAGTTTTGTTATTTTTGTTTGAGACAGGGTCTTTCTATGCAGCCCTGGCTGTTCCGGAACTCTCTGTGTAGATCAGGCTGGCCTCAGACTCACAGAAATCCCCCTGCTCCCCATCTCTCCAGTGCCACCATATCTGGCTTGATTTTAAACCACAAAAAACACAAATAATGATTTGGAGTCTAATATGCATAGGGATGAGATTCAGAGCTTAAGATAACTGAACCGTGCATGGAATTTAATAAAGAAATATGGGGATCTAGGGAGAAGGAGAGCCAGAGAGGGCTCAGGGGAAGGGTGTGGACAGCAATCAAGGGAATTTTGGTGATTTGTCATTATGTACTGTGACGGATACACCGTCTTCATCAATTCAGGTTACTATGGGGCATCTATGATGCCCACACAAGTTGACGCTGTGTGTGAGGCCGATGACTTTTCAGTACAGTTCTGTTTATATGTTGCTGTTTAAATACACATTATACCTGCTTAGCCTGTTGTGAAAGAAGTGCATTTCCGAAAAGCAGATTTACGTGTTTGTTCTCTGGCTCTTGGTGGATGACGTTTCCTTTGTGAATCTCTGTGGGCCTTTGTGGTGGTTGTTTGTTCAGCGCTGAGAATTCAGCCTTGGCCCTAGAGCACCGAAGGCAAGTGCTTTTCCATGGAGCACGCCCAGCCCACGCCTCTTTCAAATAATAGGCCATATTTTACTAACGTGACTGGGTTAATCAAGGTCCTTGTAAATGAATGTACTGACATTGTTTTACATACAGAATTATAATTTTGGGGGGTGGGTGGGTGGGTTGAGACAGGGTCTTTTTATGCAGTTCTTTTTATGCAGGGTCTTTTTATGAGTTCCGGATGTCCTGGAACTCACTCTGTAGACCAGGCTGGCCTTGAACTCACAGAGATCACCTGCCTCTGCCTCTCAAGCACTGGGATTAAAGGCCTGGCTATAAAATGATGTTTCAGTAGAATGCCCTGTAATGAGGTTTATACTCTGCTACACTGAAGTACTGAATGCACTGTGATCGTAGCCTTATGCTGCCTTCTGCGACCACCGTCTCCCTCTACGATGATGACGTGGTGTTTGGCGTTCCATTAAAAAAACCGCGCCAGGCTGGGCGGTGATGGTGAGGCCTATTAATCTCAGCACTCAGGAAGCAGAGGAAGGCAGGGTCACACAGAGAAACCCTGTCTTGAAAAACAAACCAGAGCACCACGAAAGAGCTAACCAGGTGAGGGCACTTAGCATTTTGAATGTTGTCTTCAGTGTCAGTTGAATTCGCTTCAGGACAGTGTGATGCCTGCATGTGTTAATTCAGCATTTGGGGCCAATGACTGGGCTGGCAGCTGGCCACGGGGTCAGGCTGCTGCCTGTGTCTCTCCATGTGATAGCTTCTGCAGCCGGGCTGCACACTGATCTTGGGCCTGATTTATTTTATCATAGCACGCAACTCTATCTGCATATGCTCAGCCGTCACAGCTTGTTGCTTGCCTGGTGAATATGTCTGCCTATGGTTAAAGGGGCGGGGGAGAGACAGAGGCAAGGAGAAGGGAGGAGGGAAGAGGCTGGGGAGAGGGAGGGAGAACCAGAACTCCACCCTGCAAACTTCTGGAGAAATGTCTTCCCACATGGTCTGCAGCATAGTACATGGGTTAAAAGCTGATTGCTGAGGCATAGAGAGATGGCTCAGTGGTCAAGAACACTGCTGTTTCCGAGGGTTCCCAAGTTCGAGTCCCAGCACTGCATGTGGCTCACAGCTCTCTGTAACCGTAGACAAGGATCTGATGCCCTCATCTGGCCTCCAGGCATGTATGTGATACACAGACACACATGCAGGAAGAACATCCACACACAGAAAATAAATGCCCCCCCCCCCCCGACAGGGTTTCTCTGTGTAGCCCTGGCTGTCCTGGACTCACTTTGTAGACCAGGCTGGCCTTGAACTCACAGAGATCCGCCTGCCTCTGCCTCCCAGAGTGCTGGGATCACAGGCGTGTGCTACTATGCCCGGCTAATATTTTCTATTAAAAAAATAAGAATTGAAGGCTGCTGGACTTCAGTGCTCTTAATAGCTGAGCCCTCTCTCCAGGCTCTCTTTTCTGTCATAAATGGCGGTCTTGCTCTTTTATCAAGCTGCTCTGGAGTCTCTGGGTTCACTGTTCTTCCTTCCCAGCCTTCTGAGTACTGGCACAAGGCTGCAGCCACTGCGCCTGCAGGGAAGGTCACGTCGGTGCTCCTGCAGGTGGGCATAGGTACACAGCCTCCAGTTCATCCTGGACAACTCACAGGGTAGTAAGCCAGGGGAGGAAGAGGCCAGAAGAGCAAATGCACAGCAGGGAGGAAGATGCAGAGAGGGGTCAATGGCTAAGAGTGTTCACTGCTCTTCGGAGGAGCTGAGGTCCTGGCTCAGTACCTGTTAGTGCCTGCAGCTCCAGCTCCACGGGACCCAGTGCCTTTGGCTTCCTCCTGCACTCATACCCTTTCTCCCTCCCTCCCTCTCTCCTTCCCTCCCTCCCTCTCTCTCTTCCTCCCTCCCTCCCTCCTTCTCCCTCTCTCTCACACACACACACCATTAAAAACACATCTTTTTAAGAGTCTTAGTCAGATTAAAGAGAGAGTGCGCACCAGTGCCTAGGCCATGGGGTAGGACATGTGAAAGCTAAACCCAGGTTTCCAGAAAAATTAATTTTCCAGAGGCCAAAAGCAGATCGGCGCAACCAAGACCTCACACCACCCAGACACATCTGAGTCCCGAGGCTTCTGAAGGCAGGCAGGTGCGTTGCAGATCCCAGACACCAGAACCAAGTGACGAGGATGCCAGGAGCCGTTCTAGTTCTCTTTCATCCAAGGTGCAGCCTGAGTTTAGGCACAGTGAGGTGAGAGCACCGGGTACCAACCACCAAACACCAGATTTCACGGCCTTTGTTAGGACAGTTAAGTCCTTTACACTCTCACTGCCAACTGTCACAGCATCCTTAGAGGAAAACGCTGCCATCCCCGGCACACGCACTGGGGAGGTAGACACACGGCTGACACCCCCAGCAGCACTGGCACAGTGGACTCTTCACGGCCACTGTCCCTGGCATTGTACCACGGCCTCAGCCCCTCAGCCCAGCGTGCCTGTGAGGTTGTTCATTTGGGCACACATCGACACCAGCACGGACAGACTGGTGGAAAAAGCAAGAAACTGTTCTTAGGAAAGTCGAAACACTTACTTGGACTGTCAGGCTGTAGGCTGCAAGCAGCTGGGGAGACAGCGGTGGACTGAGGGCGGTGTGGAAGCTGGGCTGGGAGAGGCTGTCCTCGCCCACGTACCCTCACTCACCCTCAGAGACAGCAAACACCAGCCTGACCACACTTCCTCTTTCTGGCCAGCTCATGTCATTCAGCCCCTTTCCAGTGAAGTGAACTACCCCAGGTTTATTTATTTATTTATTATGTACACAGTGTTCTGTCTGCACTCCAGAAGAAGGAACCAGATCTCACTATAGATGGCGGTGAGCCACCATGTGGTGCTGGGAATTGAACTCAGGACCTCTGGAAGAGCAGCCAGTGCTCTTCACCTCTGAGCCATCTCTACAGCCTCACTTTTACTTATTTTTTAATCTTCCCACTGCCCTCCGGGGCTCCAGCAGAGGCCCACAAAGGCTCATGGTGGTGAGGAGGGGGATATGAGAAGGACCAGCCTCAGCGTGAGTAAGTGAGGGGTTCCCACAGGGTGAGTCTCCATGGAACATTTCTGGCCATGTGTGTGGTGGAGCATGGGTCCCACCTCCTGAGACCCTGGAACTGCTGTCCCAGCGTCACCTCAGAGTGTAGCCTAGGCTGGCCTTGAACTTGTGATCCTCTTACCTCGGTTTCCCAAGTCCCAGGATTACCGTGCATGCCACACGCCCAGCCAGCGGACTCTATTGAGTGAATTGAGTCATCGCCTGCTACCCGGTGACAGGGTATTCCCACTGACGCTCAGAGCCTCTGGAAACCCTGGTAGAGGTAGCTGCTTACCGTGAATAGTCCCAGTACAGATATGGTGAGGGAGGTGGGCCTCCAAGGGAGGGGGTGCCACGGCACCACCAGGAACAATGATGGCAAATGCTCCCTCACCTGCTCAGGAGACTCAGCTGTAGCTCTTGCTAGTGTGTATGGTGTAAACACTCCTATCGGGACGCGCAGGCGGCAGCTCTCCCGAGCCTTCCCGCCACTGTTGGGGGCCGGGCCTTCAGTCAGGGCTCCACCTCTCTCCATGGATTATCTCCTTCATGTCTTAGAACACTGATGTGGAGGCCACACCACACTCAGCTTTGCAGAGGTGACCTTCAGCTCTGACCTGTCCGCGTGCAAAGCTTGTGCTCTTTCTTCCCTGTTCCACTCATCTGAAATGTAGTGGCTTAAAAATCGCCCTAAGCTGGCACGGTGGTGCGCGCCTGTCACCGCAGCACTGGGGCCAGAGTGCTGCCGGGTCAAGGTCCCTAGGGGCCGTGGAGTGAGACCCCCGCCTCGGCTGTGACATCGCCATCTCTACAGACTTACTGTGTCCGACAGGCTGAAACAGTTCCAGCCCTAGGAGGCAGAAGACCGAAACCCCAGAAGTTGCTCTAGGGACTCTGCGTGAGGCCTCTCTTCTGTCTCCCCGGCCCCTGGCCGTGGGAATAAAAATGGCACCTATTTAGGAGAAAGCGTGTGCGGCGTTCAGACCACCGCGTGAGACGGTGGCTGACCGGGACAGCCCACCCGGGGGCGTGCGGACCTGCCGGTTCCTCGCCTCGGGCCCGGCCCCGCCTTGACGGCGGGCCGCACAGAGGAGGCCCACAGAGGGCGGGAGGCCGGGGCAGGCTGCGGGACGCCCCAGGAGCGGGGAGCGCGCCGCCTGGCGGCCACCTGCGGTGCTCCGCCTCCCCGAGGGCGTAGCGGAGGGACGCGCGAGGAACGCACGCTGCGTGTAATTACAGCCGCGGCGCGCCACCCTGCTCGTCCCCTTACGTGACACCCACGAGGATCCTACGCCCCATCCCGTGGCTTTGTGCCTTCTGATGCGAGATTGCTGGCGCCGCTGGTGCTGCGCGGTTGGCCTCCCGTCGGCAGCATGCTCTTCTCTCGTGGCAGAGAAGCGCCCACCAGAGGAAAATGCATCCATCTTAGGCCCAGCAAACCCGGGGTTAGAAACCTGCCCAGTGAACGGGCCAAATGCCGGAGGTCTGGGATTGTATGTACAATGTGAAAAGTTAACAAATTAGTGCACCGGCCACATATTACAAAATGCTAAGCCAGCAATAATTTAAATCAATTCTATACTCACTTCCTACAAAGGGACCAAAGCACATTCTTAATTAAATGTTTTATATTAATTACAGTTTATTTACTTTGTATCCCAGCTGTAGCCCCTCCCTCCTTCCCTCCAAATCCCATCCTCCCACCCTCATCTCCTCCCATGCCCCTCCCCAAGTCCACTGATAAGGGAGGTCCTCCCCCCTTCCATCTGACTCTAGCCTATCAGGTCTCTTCAGGACTGGCTGCAGTCTTCTTCTGTGTCCTGGCAAGGCTGCTCCCCCCTCAGGGGGAGGTGATCAAAGAGTCACCCACTGAGTTCATGTCAGAGGCAGCGCCTGCTTCCCTTACTAGGAAAGCCACTTGGGCACTGAGCTGCCATGGGCTACATCTGAGCAGGGGTTCTAGGTTATCCCCATGAATGTACCTTGGTTGGAGCATCAGTCTCAGAAAGACCCCTGGGACCAGATATTTTAGTTCTGTTGCTCTCCTCTCCAGGTCCTGTCCTGTCCTCTCCAGGTTTTACTAACTCTCTCTTCTTTCACATGATTCCCTGCACTCTGCCCAAAGTTTGGTTATGAGACTCAGCATCTGCTTTGATACACGGCTGGGTAGAGTCTTTCAGAGGCCCTCTGTGGTAGGCTCCCAAAGCACCTTTTTAACAAGATTTCTTTTTAGTCTCATTTATGTGTCTGAGTATCAGTCTGTGAGACCCTGCCTGGGAGGGCAGGTACCCCCGAGGGCCAGCAGAGGGCAGCAGATCCCCGGAGCCAGCGTGAGGGTCCGTGAGACCCCTGGCCTGGGCTTGCTGCCCTGACTCTCTGGAAGAGCAGTAAGCGCGCCTGGCCGCTGAGCCCCGTTCTGCTGCACAGACTTGGAGGGACTCAGAAACCTCTAACGCCGCAGGTGTAACCATCTCGCAGACCTGTGCGCCAGTGAACAGTGGCCCTCTCTGAGCTGGTGGGGTCTCCAGGGCCTTAACTTGTCTTCCTTTCGTCATTTGGGTGTTTGGATCATTTTTTAAATTACAAAAACAAGACCTGGTCTTCAAAGAACTGTGGGAACAGATGGGAGGCTGAAGCACTCAGATGGACTGGGAGCCCCTAAGTGACTGCCTCATTTGTCCCCAACGAACAGCGAGGGAAACCTTTCCTGTGCCCACGTCACCAGCCCAGATGTTAGAAGGTGAATGTGTAGGTATGGGGGCCAAATTTGTCTCACCAACACACCCGTGTTCCTTTGTGGGAACCAGAACACAGAAAGACTCGTCTCCGGGAGAGGCCAGAGGGAGCCGGGCCTGTTGCTTTCTGTCTCGGTGCTGGAATGGCAGACTTTTATCGGTGTTTAATGTTAAACGATAGTTTTTAATTAAGTGCTAAGCTCATAGCTAATGACCCTATCTCAAAAAAAAAAAAAAATTACTCTCATAATGCTACCCATTTATTATTTAATTCTCATAGCCAATGAGGGAACCAGGTGGCTGTTATAATGGTTTAAAGGCAAGTCCATGTTTGTGGACAGGAAAACCGGAATTAATGTGTGGATGTAAGCAAACTCTTTTCCCACGGGGGAGTGGGTTGTTGCTGTGGTCTGGGCGTTGGATGCCTGGCAAAGGCCCGTGTGTTAGATAGCTCTGCCCTGAGCTCCCACGGAGCCTGGCCCGGATGGGGAGGATGCCGGTGCTTTAGGCGGTGGAGTGGAAGGTAGCATGGCGGCTTCTGCCCAGAGACTGCCAGCAACGTTCATCTCCTAAACATCTCCTCAGGTCTGAGTGCATCAACAGTGCTTGAAGCTCTTTGCTAGCTCAGAGCCCTCACGCCTTCACACTACCTAGAAAAGTGACTATACCCGGGTGTCATCACAGACTTCATGAATCACCTGACTCTCTTCTTCTTGTCTTTCTTCCTTTTTGGAGCGGGAGGAAAAGGTTTTTTTGGCTCACACGTCCACATCACAGTCCATCATTGGAGAAGGTCAGGCCAGGAGCTAACACAGGCTGGAACCTGGAGGCAGGTTAGCCCTCAGAGTGAGGAGGGCTAAGAGTGAGGAGGGCTCTGATGGGCCATCTTCTGTCAGAGTGAGGAGGGCTTAGAGTGAGGAGGGCTCTGCGGGCCATGGTTCTATCAGAGCGCCAACGGCTGAAAGGAAGCAGTGGGAACCATAGTGGTCCAGCTTAGCCCTCAGCTCAGTCCCTTCATAAACCTCCTTTTTGGGGGCTTGAAAAAAAATTGTACATTTCTGCTTCTCTGTAGTTTCTCTTTGCTGACCCAGCAGGCGTTGGCACCGGCCGCAGGGCCACTCAGCTCCAGCTCACCTAGCAGGGAGGGGCCGGGAGCTGCCCCCGGACCCGCCTGGCCTTCAAGGCAGGACCCCGAGGGACCTAGGGCTCTTCCTGCGGATGCCAGCAGTGCCTCTGTTGCGCCGTCTGGGAGCTGGCGTCCAGTGTCTGGACTGGGGTCCATTTGTCTGCTCTCAACTCTAGGTGACTCTCCCTCAGGGCCTGATTAATGAGCCTGGGGTCAATATTCTGCCCAGTTCCTTACGTCTGCTCACACCTCAGTTTGCTCGCTGAGGATTGCAGCTGCCTCGGTGCCCTGATTAATCTGTAAGCCCGTCAGATGACAGAAATCTAAGATAACCCTGGCGACTGTCTGGTTTCCTGGGTGTTAGGGCAGACCAGGATTTGGCCCCTTGCCAGTCTTGCAAATCCAGACAGTCGCTGACTGGAGCAGCCCTTAGAGTACAAATGAGTGAGAGTGAGTGAGCAGGGTGGGTGGGGGTGTCAGAGAGCAGAGAGGAGAAAGAGCACACTGAGGAGTGGAGTCTAGACCAGAGGCAAAACCAAGCGTCTTGGATCAGGGCAGTGGTGGTGCACGCCTTTGATCCCAGCACTTGGGAGGCAGAAGCAGGTGGATCTCTGTGAGTTCCAGGGCAGCCAGGGCTACACAGAGAAACTATGTCTCAGGAAAAAAATAATCCCTAAGCTGTGGCTCCCTCTAAGGCAGCAGTTCTAAGCCTGTGGGTTTTGACC